AGGGTAACCAGGAAGTGGGATATCATCATTTGAGATGTAAATGAATGGAATGATTAATATATATATAAAAAAAGAAAACACAGTAACTCCACAGAGAAGATAGACAGCGTCATCTCCCGGGGGGGCATTCCTTTTTAATATAGACATTCCTGGACCCTACTCTAAATATACAGAATCACAATGTTAGGGGTGGTGTTCAAGTAGTTATATTTCTTTTTAAGTTCTTACATAAGTGTTATATACAAGAATTAAACAAGGTTATTATGTCTCATATTACTATAGACAAGCTGTGTTTCCATTGAAAAACAAAAACCTAAAAACACAAGCCATTTATGCAACTAAATACAAGGGGATAGTCCATTGTGTTCCCTGAGATGAGTTGGCATAGAAAAACAGTCTCAGCAAACAAAAAAAATGAACTTAATAAGTCAAGTATTATTGTATTAACTAATGACGCATATATTTGAAAACATCTTCTGGCTGATAGAAGCGTGATTAACTGTTCCTGTGGTCTTGGCTAATCATGGAACCACTTACCTCTAGAGTTATAAGGCCACATCATCAGAATGACAGATGCTGACTTTCCTGTTTGCTGTCTAGTGTGGATGGGAAAGGGTAGGAATCATTGACAAGGTAAAGTGGGCAGGTACCCAGAACAGAGTGAAGATGAGAACACACATTTTACAGTCTGAAGAACAGTTATTTTCACACAAAAAAATTGCTGCTAGTCCTTTTCCTGGCCCCTCCTCCACCTCCATCTTCTTTTATTTTTTAATTTAAAAAAAGGGTAAGGCTCTGTAGCACAGACTATAGTAAACTGTATTACAGTTTTACACTCTGGTAACAGTGCTGATTCAATCTCTCAAATGCTGGGATTATTGGCGTGAGTCACTGTTCCTGATCTATACTTCCCCATCAAAGTGGTTTCAGTTTGTTTTCACGTTTTAACTATAACGTAAAACACGATGTAAAACTAGTATTCCATCTGCAATGCCTTTGACTAAGAATGTAATTAACAATTACTCTCCTGCCTCACTAATTAATAGAATAAATCTCTTTTATATAAATAAGTAATCATGAAAACTTGAACCTATACTGATCTTTTCTTCCAAAACGTTCTCTGTTAGAAGAGTAATCTTCATTAAAAAGGAATAGTATATTAGTGTAGCACTTATAGATATACTACTAATAAAAACTTATGAAAAGTTCCCTAATTTTTAATCTTTGTCTTGTGTCCCCAGAATAGGTCATGGAAGAATGGATAACGTTTAGTTTAGGCACAAAGCTATTGACATTGTTGAGTTTGAAAAGTGTCCTTCTCATTGTCTGGGTTTTGACTTCCATCCTAGATGGTTTAAGTTCTCTTCTCTGAGCACCGAGTCCCCTTTCTTATAGCCCGGTGCCTTCTGTCAGGTTTTCAGTGAGTCCCCTTTCTTATAGCCCGGTGCCTTCTGTCAGGTTTATCAGTGAGTCCCCCTTCTTATAGCCTGGTGCCTTCTGTCAGGTTTATCAGTGAGGCTTTTACCAAGAAACCATTTACCCTCCAGTGTAGAAATGTTTCATTTCATTGCTGTCCTAGTTATCAGTTCAGTACCTGAGAAATTCTTTCTAAACATAGACTGGCTGAATGAGTCATTTCTCTCTATCTCTTCCAAGGGATTGCTCTCTCTTCCCACATTATATAACACAAATGCATGGAATACACTTGTACCTTTTATAGTATACCATATGTGATCATTAAGGTGATGGGAAAAGTCTACCAGATCTACATACATTTGTGTATAAATACACCTAAGTATGAGTGCAATCATTCATAAATCACATTACAAAAACTTAACATTTAAGGAATCAATCATTTAAAACTTATTTTTGCTATCCATTTTCCTCTTAAACATTTAGTGAATTTATGTAACATGACTCACTACAAGTGAGCAATATAGTCTTGTACTGAAGCAGACATCCTTCAACAGTCTAAGCAGTGCATACTAGGGAGCAATCACTGTGGCACTTTTGCTTATCAAAGTCGGTGTGGTACGGACTAGAACTGCTATAACTACTCAACAGTGACACTCTTTTTTTTGATAAAACTCGAATTTTTATCAAAACTCAAGAAAAACTGTATGATCTTCCTGCAATCTTAAGAAATATAAGTTGCCTAGAGACATCAACCTGGCCATCTAAAATTTACAGGTCCCCAAGCACTCCACAGAAAGTTGAGTACAGACAGTGCCTTGCTAGGAATATATTCATCTCCTTATCCTCATAAAATAAAATGTACTTTTACCCTAAAGAAACTGGTGACAGCAGCATTTTAAAAGTAAAGAGTTTAGGCTATAAGCTTCTGCGCTCCTGCCCACCAAGTCAGGTGGGCAGTCAGAAACTCTGACTGCAAACTAAAGGCAAACTGCAATGGCTCATGGCTTCTCTGAACAGCACAGAGAAAACACACAAGACTCAAGTTTTGCTATGCACTTGGAAGAAATTAGAATGTCTCTTTCAGGAAGTTTTTCTCTAAGAATTAGCCATGAAATAATCATATTTTTCACAAATCAGGATATGGTTGTTTTAATTATATGATAACTCAATGTAATAACCTAGTTAGATATATAACAGCAACAGACTTTAAATTACTGGCTTAGAGTCAAATCACAAAATGTGCCTTACTAAAGATACATTTTTATGTTTTCTGAATGCTATAAAACCTAATAGAACACAGATACAGCTGAAAAACAAAAGAAAATACACAACTGAATTGTATGCTAAATGAGAAAACTACTACCTCAATTGTCGTCTCTTTCATTTTGGGAAAAGCTCAATATGCAACTGGGTTTTGATGTAACTTAAAATTGACATATAAATAGGTTTTGCTCTTCAAGTAAAATTTGTGTAATATAAAAATCAAAATCTGCTGGAAAACTCGACTTCTTCAAAATGACATTATTTGCAATTTTCAGTCTTACATAGATGTAATTAAAGCAAACTCTTCATCATGAGAAGAGGAGGTCTGGCTGCACGCCGCTGATTCCACCGTCCGCTGTACCCCTTGAACGACTCGGCGGCTTCCATTACGGAGTAGCCATCGTTCTTATGCTTTACTGATTGTGTTTTCTCTCTGCCTGAGCCATGCTCCTGTTTTTGCAGTTTTATCTAACTGGGTGCATCTTACAAAGAGCATTATCTAACATGGCTGTCTTCCAAAAGCATTTCTTTTCAGAGAATCATGGACTGGGCAGGGTGGTGCATGCTTGAAGTCTGAGAACTTCAGAGACTGAGGCAGGAGGATTATGACTTTGAGACTAGTTGGGCTAACTATAGCAAATTCAGGTCCAGCATGGGCTAAGATGCTGAGTGAGGTGCTGTTTCAAACAAGACTAATAAGAACAACGAATGCCAGAATATGAATACTGCCTCTGCTTTCTAACTATTCTCAGGCTCCAGACTGCACTAGAATATCCCAGAAAACTAGCAACTTTCAAAGGAGATAGAGACTTATTAAACTTTATCTAAATTTCACTCATTTTTGAAGTTTTTTTCTGCTATACAATTTTTTTAATATAAATTATGTTAAAACATTTAGGCCCTTCAGAATCCTTTATTTTAAGGATGTTACCTTTTTTCCCCAAATAGTCTCCACTAAAGGTAAAAGGATTTGCAAAATCCCCTTTTACTCATCTTTAGAGAGAAGTTGGGGAAATTACACTGTGAATTCATGCTAAGAACACAAACTAAAGCCAAACTCAACTTTGATTGTCTTCTCAGAAAAAGATGGTAAGCAAAATCAACCAGACCCCAGATCTAGCGGATATGTATCAATGACATGGCAAGCCAACCTCTCTGATGATAATTTCTAGTGTATTAATCAATTATGTTAGAAGTAACACAGATAACTCTGGAAATGAACTAATACCTAAGTAAAGGACAGACGCATATTACTACTGGGAAGCACCCACACAGTCGAGTGGCTTTACCTGTCGTCGTCTTGGGAGAGACTCCTTTGCAAGTCCTCTTTGCTGCTCTGCTCTCTCTCCTTCCCTTGCTCAGGAGCATCTTGTGCCTTTTCCTCATCTCCTGATTCTCTGCTTCTCTCCTTAGGGCATGTTTCTGTCATCTCCTTCCCTGTCCCATCCTCACTAATCACTTCCACCTTTGCCTCTTGCTCCTTCTGATCTGGCTCTTCTCGCTTAAGCCCTCCTTCCCCTCCCTCGTCTCCTCCCTTGGGTCTTTGAATGAAACACAAATGGAAAGCATGCAAAGAAACACAAAAGAGAAAACGTCAAGAACAATGTAAGTGAAATGAAACAGAGACAATGAAGACAATCAGAACTGAGGTGAAACTAAGATCAATTTAATGTTGAATGCGTTATGTACTAGTCAGCAAGACCTGCTCAAGCAAGACCTCCTCATGGTCGTTTTAAAATTGTATCTTCAGTTACAAAATGACATGGGAAGCTAGGGCTGCAGCCTCTCCATGAGAGAGAGTTCCACTGTATACAAATCAATAATCAAGTGGGAACTAAAAGACTAGCATATACTAAATTTTCTAGAGACAGTGAATAATTTTTTCCATGTACTTATTTCCATGTACTTATAATATTGTCAAGAGGGCAGGAAAGCCTCCTATTAAAAAAGCAATATTTTTCTCTTGAATTAATAGAATCTATTCAATCAGAAAAAATACTCTCCAAGATAACTGTTCGTCATATTCAACAGAATGCGAAATTCACATCTTCAGTTAACTGCCATTTTGGTTTAATAAAAATCTAACAATTGCAGTTTAGTTTTTAAGTTATAAGCATAAAGGTATTATTTCAAGTAATTTAAAACTTAGAACTGTCATCAGTTCTATAAAAATTGACAAAGATAAAAGAAAATAATACATACAGACTATCGTATTGCTTTTTACACAATATACATCAATACTTTAGAAAAATATTCATGTTTATCTACAGAAATAAAATCCTCTGACATACACAGGGCAGTTACTGCCCAAGGGTTCTTACCTGATTTTCCTGTTCCCTCTCGGCCGCTCTGATTGGACGGACATGTAGCTTGTGCTGCTGAAACGAGAAGCACTACTAGTCCTTGAAACCGCAGATACATCACTTACATCACTGTCCGAGGATTTAGTGGAAACAGTATCTGCCCCTCTATGTGGATCCCATCCTGAGCGATACTGTTGACACAGATTGACAAATACGCAGAAGCCGTCAGTATCAGCACACAGATCAATCGTTAGCTCGCTCCTATCCCAGCACTTTAACTGTCCGAGGAGGGTACTGCAATACCTACTCAGTTGCATATAAAAAAACAAAGGTGGACGGAAATTATCCTAAAACAGAAATTTACACAAACCCTCTGTGTTTGGCAGGCATCATAGCCTTTTCACCACACCCAGAAAGAGCCATTAAAGGTTCCAAAGCAGCAATGGCCTTAGGGAAGAACATTTAGCTAAAATTTAGGAAATAAACATTTGGCTCAACAGGAAGCACGACTTTTAAATTTCTGATTAAAATTTGAAAGAAAAAACTCTAGCCAAGTTGTCTCTGTAGCTGGTCTGCAAAGACCGACTCTAGCAGTCCTCAGCTCTCTTTGGTCCACCGCACCTCACAGAAAACCTAGAGATGATACAAAACCTAACTGATGAAAAACTAAGCCTTTCAAGAAAAGCAAAGAGAAAAGAGAAGTTTAATTTCTGAGCAGTTGCTGGAATTTTGATGAATCCTAGAAATATTAGAAAAAAAACCATTATTTACAATAGTTCAATCTTCCTGGAATTGAAATAATTAGATGGTTAAGTGGTACAGCCAGGGTGCAAGGGATCCTGGGGCACTCAAATATTCTGGCAAATTGAAAACCAACATAAATATTTTATGTTAATGACCTATTCTCATAAAATACATTTAATGTTAAAACTAATGGACACAATGTAATTTTATTACTGACAACAACAACAAAAAAAAATCACTTGGCCAAGAGTTGTCAATCTGGAACATTAAAACAAAGGAAAAATAAGGAAAGAAAGAAAGAAAGGCTATGGACCTCGGAGCCTGGAAGCCTATAATCAAGGAGACACTCAATAGCTGAGCAAATCTGGGCAGATTATTTAATCTTTAATATTCATAGTGTAAAATGACAAGAATATTCATACCAATCTTGCATAATTGTTTTGAAAATTAGAAACAATATGTGTTTTGTTACATTATGCTTAGTGTAATGTAAAAAAAAAATAAGCTGGATTTTTTCCTCTAAAATCGCCCAATATGGCTGCTGCTATGTCAAAATTACTGAATAAGAGAATACCTGTAATGGATCTTCTGTTTTGCTTATTATACACCTTATGCTGAAAAATCCTTACTTAGTCTAGTTTTTGAGAATTTTCTAATCATAGGTGCTGGCAAGTTTTATAAATCTTTTGAAAAATAGGTATTTTATATAAACCACTCCCTGTGATTTGAAGACTTGTTACTTAGTAAAAATCCATCAGAAATAGTGGTCCAACATAAATATTTGATAGATACAAACATTTGGCTAATACAACTTGAATAGCAAGTAGCCATAGCTTGTATCATATACAATGACTTGTTCTGTTCCTTCTGGACCTTGCAATTTCTAGCTATATAAATTTTTATTTAAAAACCAACTCTTCAAATAAATGTAAAATAAAAGGATTGTTTCTAAGATGCCATAAAACAGTAATAAGCAAATTCATTATTATAGAAATTAATATAATTAAGTTAGATGGCAAATGGCTTTTTTAGTCCACCCCACCTTTCAACATTAAATATTTAAAAATAATAATTAAATTATTAAAAATCTGCTGTCTCTTTCCCTAGGAAATGTCTACATAAAGAGAATGATGGTGTTTATTTATTAGCAAGAGTAAACACTGTTTACTTATCATCACTTATTTGGTACAAATTTAGTTCATGAGATTCTTTTTCAAATATATTTATTTAAAAGTGCTAGTTTACTTAGGTTATTGTATTATTTCAATATGTAGATTCAAGATTTTTTTACATATTCACCTGCACATCTAAATAATATATGTGTGAATAATTGCAATGGACTATATTTATTCTTTTTACTAAATTATTTAAGTACATTGACAAGAAGTTGAGGCATACATGGAAAGCTTTAACCTTACTCACATCTTTTAATATTCCAATTACAAAAATATTTTAATTGTTCAATAAATATTGAAGTGTACCTGAAAGGAACTTTCTCTTTCCCATAATTTATAATAAAAGAGAGGTTACCTGATACTATTCATTTGAGATAGTTCATAATTAGATAGAAAAGGAGTCTAGCAGTTTATTCTCTACTTGCTTTTGCTCATGAGACTATCATATCTGAATTCAAATGGAAAATGACAACCTTTAAATGTAGTAGGAAGTAGAGGCAATACACAATCATTAAGAGCCAAACTTCTTAAATGAGATTTAATCATTCATCTAAATTCTAGCCATATAAATTACTATGTTTATTTTCATAGACCAATAGCTTCTCTGAGTGTCTCAGTTTTCAACTGTTAAAACCATGGATATCAATAATGCCTGTATTTAGAACAATATTTGGTCATAGCAAGAGTTTAAATGGAAAACGAGATAATGTTTTTTAAATATTATATTTGGAGCTGGGAGGTTTTAGTTAAAGGATTGTATGCCTTTAATCTCAGAATTAAAGATGCAGAGTTTGGGGCCAGCCTGGTCTACAGGCTGAGCGAGTTCCAAGAAAACCTTGGAGTATACAGAGAAACCTTGTCTCGAAAAAAAATGTATACATGTATATCTATCCATATGTACACATTATTATATTATATTATATTATATTATATTATATTATATTATATTATATGGAAACAAACTGCTCAAGATCAGGAAAGTATCTTCCTCAATTTGTGTCTCTTAGAAGATAAAGCAGGATAACTGTTCGTGGCCAGCTTGGGCTAAAAACTTAAAAAGGACTCTCAATAGATTCTTAGAAAATATCACATGGTAACATGCAGTACATAAAGCATAAGGTCATTAAATGAAAAGTAATTAAAAAGTATAGCTTGTATCAAGAGCAGAAATTAGCTGAAAGCTGTAGTTTGATGACATTCCATAATCTGCTCAAGACTGTACTATTCTGTTTAATTCCAAGCAACTAAGCATGTTTACTGTAGGGATATAACTTCATCTTCAATCACAGCTAGATATGTAACAAACAGACTGAGAAATTTAAAAGGTAAGAAAAAAGATATTTAAAATTACGCTCTGTGTGTGTGTGTGTGTGTGTGTGTGTGTGTGTGTGTGTGTTTCATAGTGCCAGAACGTAGGCTGCTGGGCAAAGAGACCATCAACAGTCTTACGCAGCCATGACTCCTATGAACAACAATAATGATCTACTAGACAAGATATGACTCTGATGCAAACATGGCATGGTTGCTAGGGCAGTAACCAATTGTTTGCGGATTGGATTGAGGTTCATTCCACAGGAGGGAAGTTGTGCCTGGCACTGTAACCTTAGGCAAAAGCTGGTGGCTGCGGAGATCTTGAGCCTTAGCGGGAAACCTACTCTTTTTGTTCCTATTTTCTTGCTAAAGGAACATGTTGTCAAACAGCCTTTTAAATACTCATTTATATCCAGAGATCAGTGCTGCTTTGAGCCTTGTAATGGGCAGAAGTTAATGCGGAAACGCATTCCGGGTCAAAGTACTGAGAATAAGTGTTAATGTGTAATAGTGCATAAAAAATACAGTGTACAAAGCATCCTTCCAACAGGGAAGTCTGGGCCCTAACTGGGACACCTGTATCACCTCTCCAAGACTCATGGAAGGGGAGCTGGAAATACATGAGTCAGAGAAAGAGAAGACGTGTAGAAAGACGTCTTCCTGGCATGACACAGAATTTCACCAAACGTGACCCATTGGATACTGGGACCTTGAAAGTCATCATGCCTGGGGCACTTACTCATGGAGATTCTTGGTAGTCAGTGACTGCTGAAGAGACAGGGTGTAATTTACTACCATAGAGCAACTACTGATAAGTTGTTCATGCTCCAGTAAATAAAATTCTGTTCAAGCTCATGCAAGCCACTCTAATAAAATTCAGTAGCTAAGGAAGACATGAAAATAAAGGTGGAGGAGTTGCAAATACAGATTTCAGTGGGAATGAGGGTACTGGAGAGGGCAATGGAAGATGAAGATGGCTAAAATTCATTGTGTTCATGTATGCAGCTATCAAAGAATAAAACAATGAAGAATAAAAAATCTACTCACAGAAAAAAAAGGAGATAATATAAATATACTTAGAACAAAACAATCACATATACAATTTAATCTCCCCAATAACTATTATGACCTGATAGTATAATTAACATTGAAAATGTTTAGTGTATTTTTAATTGAAAGAATGACAAAACTATAAACTTTAAGTGATATAAAAGCAATTAAATTATTATTATACCCCATAATGAGCTGTAAATGTTAATAAGTAAATTGAGTTATTTAGGAAATAGTTGGTGTTGTCTTGGCACTATGCATCAAATAAGTTTTTAAATATTTGTCAGGCAGCATACAATTGACAGGTTAACAATGAATGTTCATTTTAGTGAAGCAAAAACATGAAGTTAATAATCTCAGCTGAAGATTGCCCCGACTGGAGATAAATAAAATCTTGGACAAGGCTTTCCTCACAATATTTTATGCTTTATATGTTACTATCAAGCAGATCAAAAAGACTACAATAAGAATGCAAAAATTTACAGGAAATTAGCATTCTTCAGGATGTTCTAGATGCTTAGGAGTTTCGAAGAGACCTGGAAAAGTTAATGTTCTTTCAATGTATCTAAAATTAGTGAAAAGTAGCTGTGCCTGCAAAGCTCTCTTGAAAAGATTTATATCATTAAAATTTTAAGATATAGTTGATAAAAACTGAATTTTTAAAACAAAAGTTCCATATTCTTCAGCATCCTCATTTGAAGGTTTTGAGTAATTTGAGCTATTTTTTTCTATAGCATTGCATCAACTTTGGTACTCCTATCTTTGTACATGAACTTCTCATATAAAGAATTATATGAGTTTCCTCAAACAATGCTTGGCTTCAATTTAACAAATCTTAAATATTACTAACAAATACTAGATACTGTAATTTTTTTGTGTGGAAAATGCTAGGCCAAGGAACTATTATAAGA